TCCAAGTTTATATAAACAAGAGATTGTTACATTAAAGTTGAGTTCCTGCTTCGACAAGAAGACTCCGGCCATGTGTGTTTCTATGGACACTCACCATCCCACTCAGCTCTGGAGAGACCCAGCCAGACTGGAACGGCTCTGTCCTCTCTCCTGGACCTGCTGGCTTTAAGGAGCCGACACTCTCTCTCTCTACACCCCTCTTTCTGCACCCCGTTCTCTGCCCCCTCTCTCTGCAGCCCTCTCCCTGCCTCATCTCTCTATGCTCCACTTGCTTCATCCCTTGCTCTGTCCTCCACACACCTCTGCCTTCATCACTGTCACATAAAACTTGTGACTCCTTTTTTTCCCTGGAGAGTACTGTGAGCATTTCCTCATTATTTGCTGTTCTTTTATTGATGTAAGAATCTTGCCTTTGTTTAAATACTTCTTGCTGCTATTCTGGGGCCTCCTTACATTCTTTTATGCCATATTAGTCTGGTGTATATGCTGGCAGTCCTCTCACATGACATCTCTAACTGTAATCATTCACCAGGTGAACAGCAAGGGCTTAAATCACTTAAAACAACCATCAGCTTACCAGGGCTCTTCTGTCTGGCTTCTTGGACAACTTATTTTACCTCATTATTCCTTGGATACAATTTTTTTTATATATTGGGAAGATGCCAATCTCCATTTATTAAATGAGGACAACAACTAAATATATTAACCTGTACTACGTTTTAGGTGTAATGTTGGAAGCAAGATGTATTTCTACAAATAAAGACTCTCCTGGTGATCAGAAACAAATATAAATGCATGCCATCCAGGGTTCTAAAGCAGGATCCACTCAAGTTTTATCTGTGCTATATCCCTTTGTGTCCAGAGAAGAGATAGGGAGACTGTAGAAGAAGCAGATACACCGAAATAGTTCTCAACATCATGCGCATGCAATTTACAAACCAAGGAAGGAACACAGTGAAAGACATAGGAAAAATGCATGAAACTTCCACTGGGTAGCAGGTTCTGGCTCTTGGCTCTGAAGAATACAAACAGGAAGTTGAGGACCCATCTATCCTGACACAGCCAACACAGTCTTTTAGCTTGATGTTCAAAGACTGAATTCCTCCCTCCAGTAACACAGGTGTCAGGATGGGAGCAAGTCATGAGTTTTCTGGAGCTTCACTCTCATAGAAGAGAAGGAAAAGACGATACAGAAGAGAGAGAAGAGGAAGAGGCATGAACATGCAGTCACCCGGCTTTCATAAACTCTCTGTTGAGCTCAATTTTTAACTGATGCCAACACAGCACACTTTCTGGAAACTTAGCAAATAATAAAGTAGCCAAATAATGATCTCATGAGGCACCTAGTGCTGCTCCATGGATTTCCTATTCAATAGGAATTTAAAAGACTTGCATGTCAAAAATCTGGAGACAAATAAAAGGAGAAAGGGAGAAAGAGTGAGAGGGAAGGAAAGAAAGACTAAGGAAGGCAGTAGCAAGAGAGGATTCTAAATGGAATCAAAGCAAATGGCCAAGGATGTGAACTGTCCATGAATGTCACCAAAGTGACCGTTATGATGGAAGCAGGATATAGGTGTGACATCATCTAATAGCAGTATTTGTAGGAGGCTTAGGTCATTCTTGCCTTATGTTGGGCATGGTTTTTAACCCAAAGAGTAGCACAAGTGGAGTTATTTGTTCTGTGATACTGTGAACTGACTGTCATTCAATGAACCAAATACTGAGAACTCATTGAGTAAGACTCAAAGTGCCACATGCAATTCAGCAACATGCTGCCTTGACTATAAGTGGAGCTTAGAGCCTGAGTGGAAGAATCTATATCATTATAACGTTTGCAAGAGGCAGTTTGAATGAAAAGATCAATGAATCTGCCTTTGAGTCTGCTTTTGTTGGACAGAATCAATAAGCACAGTCTCTGTGCTTTCACTGACGACACTTTGTGCTAGATATTGTGGTACATGTCTACAAAGCTAGCATCCTTTCTGGTTTGGCTTCCTGCTGTTTCCTTTCTAGTCCTCGCTAATATACATCTAGGTTGGGTGCTAAGCACCAGCCAGTATGTAATTGGAGACACCAGGCAAGATAGAAATAGTACCGAAAAAGAAGATTAGAAAATCTGAAGATAAAGAAGATGTTTACAAAATGTAGAGAAGAGAGTCCAGGGCAGCACAGAGAGGGAGGGAGCTGACGTGTATCCAAGGCTTCAGAAGGTAAGTTCTTCCTGGTAAAGAAAATAAAAGCTCTGGAAATTATAATCTATGGAGAATGACAGATTTCACGTATATGAAAAAGGGCCTCAGTAAGTTCACATTGGAGCTGTACCTTAAATTCACAGAGACCAGTTCAGGCCCTCAGTGATGCTTCCTCAGTATGGGTCCCTATTTCTGCTTTCCTCCTTATTTGATTCCATGTCAATTCTTTGCTTTCTTTTCCATGTCTTAAGAAACTAATTTCAATTAAGATTTCTACTTATATTCCAATTTTTAAACACTTCTTTAGTAGAGGGCAAATGACAAGCAGAATAATGAAAGAAAGCTGCCTCTTGTCTTTCCAGGGATGAAACAGAGCTTTGAGGAATTATTTGTGATTTTCTTCTTCTTTTTCAGGAATAATCAATTTAATTGAAAGATGCTGAATTCATCTGTAAAATCATGGCCTTTCATATAGATGATAAACTTTCTCTTGGTAAAGTGTGAATTAACTATAGATCTCAGTCTTTGGGATACCTGTTACCTCATGTAGGAAATCCCAGTGTATGCAAGAATTCTTTAACATGCTGACCTAAGCATAAGCTTTACTCATTTGCTCCACTTCAAGAAGCTTGTTTGATCTAGGAATTGAGGGTAGGTTTAAATTATCAGAATTTTAAAATTAAGACTAAGCATTTTTGGTGGAAAGGAACTAGTCAGGTTAGTTGAGATGCAGACAGTAATTTTGTGGTTTTCCTGTGTTGATTTGACTTTAAAAACTAACACTGCTAATGCTGATGTTAAAAATTACTTGTTAAGCTCTTATTTCAGAGATCCTTATTGTCACCTAAGGCTATCTCCTCACTTTCAAATATGCTGAGTACTTGAAGCAACTACCCATATAATCTAGGCAAGAAAATTCTGTGCTAGATGAAGCTAAACCACCATGGCAAGGAGATAACCTGCCTTGAATTATCTGGATTGTAGGAAACTGGTTTAATAGTCATAAACATAAAATGGGCCTCGGCTCAAAAAAGTATACTAGGCTCAGGTGTAAAGGAATATCTTAAAACAGATCCTAAGAGAACCTAATGAAATTGCTTTTACAATAGATTTGAGATCTTCTCAGATCTTACAATAGATTTGAGAAATATTAAGATAAGTAGAACACATAAATATACAATATTAGACATTCAAGTTCATGTCTGCACATACATGTCTGACAATTAGTGTGTGTGTATGTGTGTGTGTGTGTGTGTGTATGCGCACGTTTGTTGGAGTGATGTTTTTATACACTATGTAAAGACTGTTTCTGTATCATACAAATGAAGTTTCCTGAATCAGCAGAGATCTGATTACAGACCAGACTTTGGTATTGTTAAGCATCATCTGTCTCAGTGTTTTTTAAACACTTCTTCTCTCACCTTCTGATTGGTAAAATAGAAATCTGATGGCCAATAGCAAAATCAGGAAGTAGAAAATAGGACTTCCGGGAAGAGATGGGACTCTGGAAGAGTTATTAAGTTACAAGTTAGTTGAGAATAAGCCTAACTATAGGTCCTAGGCATTCATAATAAACGTCTCTCTGTTATTATTCCAGGAGCTGGTGGTCCCAAAGAAAGTCCTGTAATAGTAGTGTGTGTGTGTGTGTGTGTGTGTGTGTGTTGATTTTGATTTTTGTACAATGTATAAAAAGTCTACACTGTTAGTCTGTGCTTAAAGTAGGTTATGATTGCAGTTTCAGTCTTCAGATACTTCCAAACTTTCTTTACCTCAAACCATGCCATTCATAATGTTATAGGGAAGTTGCATCTGAAGGAATGAATTCATTGGACACTTTCTCCCATCATCAGTGACCCAATTCCACTGTACTTCCCCAGCAGATGAAATGCAAAGACTGGGAGAGAGGGAGTGATTTGAAACCATTTCTATGCAGGGAATCAAGAGAAAATATATGGACAGGGAAAAACAACACAAAACACAGGTTAAATTTACCAAGGCAAATGGTCCAAAGTCTCCTCATGATAGACATTAAGGCCTTGCCATGCTAGGCTGGTTTCTTTCTTCTTCTTAGACTTAGCTCCTGTTTGTCTCCACTTGTGTGGCCATAATGATGTCACACTACCCATTCTATTTCTTATTTCTTAGTCCTTTTCTTCCCATCCCATCTTCTTTCCCGTTTCTCTTTTTCTATTTTTCTTTCTCTCTTTTTCCTCCTCATTCTCTTCCTCTGCTTCTACCTTCCTCCATTTTTATTTTGTGTTCCTCAATATTCCTGAGTATCTTTATGATCTCACTTCAGGTCTTATTTGAAAATCACCCATAAAATATACACTATTTACCCAAACTCTGTAAACTTGTCCATTCTTTCTCAGTGTTTTGCCTTATTGAACTCTATATGTTTCCTTAATATCATTTAATCATAAGCTTTTCTCACATATGGATTTTTGCTTATATCATTTCTCCCACTGGACATTAAGTCCTGTGAAGGCAAGATGGGATATGTCTGTGCTGTTCAGTCTTGCAAAATCCTTTCATACGTTGCTTCCTAATGGGTAATGATAATTTGTTAATTTTCACATTTCTTTCTATGCCCAGTGTACCTGAAGCTTCCAAGTATTATCTTAATATAAACAAAGCAATTAATTTATCTTCATAATATGCTCAATTGTCTTTCAGTATGCATTCACACCTATCAAAGTTACCAAATGAGCAATGCTATGAAATAGATTGCTAACAAAAAAACTATATTATTGAACAATTATCAGTGTAATGTTTATTATGTATTGTTATGGGGAATGACTCCTGTACCTGATATAGGCTGTATTCTTCAACACCGTAGATCTTTGATTATTGTTTCACTGATTTTAGGGCTCTGCAAAGTAAAAAAGAACAAAGTTTTAGAATGCTGTGTTATACATACACATGAACACATTATCTTAATAAAATATCCATCTATGAATACATTAAATAAATACACAGCACTACAAACATGTAGGACTCATTACATTCTTCACAGAACACTACTTCTAGTCTGTGTTAATAAGCTCCTTGAAGTTCAAAGAGTTTACTAGAAGAATTACCATTATCCTTTATGTTCTACTCACATGTGCCTGGTACTATCCTTTGTCACACACTGTTCTACATTGTAGAAATTAATTCATTTATTCCTCATAACCACAGGTCAACATGACATCAACTCAGGAGGTCTATATTACCCAAACCCTACACATTCCAAGAACGCCTATCTTCAAGATTAGCCTTTAATTGGCCACTTGGGGATGACTCCTGAACTCTTAAAACAGTCTGATAAGAGGGTCTGAACTTTTCGGACCTTAGTGTCATTTGTACCTTGTCTCTCCTCTTCCCAGTATTGCCTTCTTCCTCACCATTCAAACCCACCCCCCACCATGCCCTCCACTTACCCATAGCATTTCTCCTCTGCCTGCTCATAGCGTCTCTCTACAGCTTCTCTCCTCATATCATAGCCCCTTTTCATTTCCTAGTGTCTGTATTTATTCCAGATTTTATGCCCACAAAAGACATATGGAAGAGTATTACATTATATTTACATAAAATTACATAATACATGCATGTGTTTGTGTATGTGTGTAAAGGCTTCATTGTTGCATTTCATTGCTTCAAGAACTTGAAAGTGAGTCTGTTGCTGAGGACACTAAATACTTTAGACAAAGGATTTGAAAGAATCTAGCTGGATCCAACCCAAAAGTCTCCTCCCTGAGGGCTAGCTTTCATAGTACCAGTAGGTCTTATACAAGATGTCAAGGGAGAAAAGCATCTATAGTCCTACCCAGCTGTGACACCAAGAACCACACTGGCTAGAATAAGAAGAGATTCCCAGATGCAACACTGGCACTTGTATCTTAAAAATAGCCAGCACCTATCTAATTGGATATTAGATTCATTCAGTAGCGGGGACTTTATGCTTTGTACTACAAACCTAGCCAACTAGTCATGGCTGTGAAGCTGGGCAGACTAAAGGAGACTACTAATGCCATTTCTTGAGTAAGTATCATTTCTAACTATTGTAAATGCATATTCTTAGAGCAACGGGTAATTGTAGCTCATGTCTCTCATTAAAGAAGCTTCTGTTAGCAGCAGATAGAAAACATAACAGAAAACACAGCTGGTCAGAATGCAGAGAATGATGGTGGGGTCCCAGCCCAAGTGACACATGTTCAACCAGCTCCCTACTCAGAAAGCAAGGAACACTGTGGAAGAGGGACCAGAAAATCATAAAGACCAAAGGATCAGAAAATCTGCTGTGAGATAATGTCTCCTGTATATGACCGGGGGGAGCATGTGTGAAACTCATCAACATGGTTATTCAAAAAAGATCTGAAAAATGATGACACCAGTTGACATACAAGTATGGGTAATGGTGATCTCACAACACTCCATTCCTTGAGGAACAGCAACGGTTAATTAGTGACTGTCAGGAGAGGAAGCATCAGTCTTCCCAGAGATGAAAAACAGTAATAAATTTGAGCAAGAGTATGGATATTGCAAAAAAATTGGAGAGGAGGGTTGATTAAGATATAGGATACCTTGTATGAGATAATTTTAATTAATTTTAAAGGCATGTCTTGGTATGAATGATGCCTTACTCTTTGTTGCTCCAGGTAGTTAGGTAAGTGTATTACGAAGCATGGCTTAGAATGAAGACCTGATGATGCTTTAAGGAAGGAACACTGGAGTCTACACAGCTAACTCTATACGCTCATGTAATTAACCTCAGCTTGGACTCTGGAGCTCAGAGACCAAATGAGTTCTCCTGGTTTTCCATAACTCTTCCCTGTCGCATCTTTTTGCTGAGAGCTATGAGCGTTGATGTACACGACTCCATGAGACAGAAATTCCAAAGATCTTTCCCTGAGTAGCTTCATGAACCTTCTCCTACCACGGATTCAAGCTACATCCTTTTACTCTCATAAAACACGTCAAGATTGTTCAGCTTTTCAAAGTATTAGGAAGGCTCCCAGTGCCTACCTGAGAGTGACCCTGGGGGACATAAGTGCTTTCTGACTTAGAAACAGATATAGGAAAGGAACTGAGCAAAGAAAGGTCACATATCTCGGTCATAGTCCCATCATTAGTTGGAATCAGTATTTGAATTCTAGCACAATGTTATTGATCAAAAGTTTGAACATTTTGTTCATATGCAATGTTTTTTTCAATTATAATATTTATTTTTATATGCCATGCATAAGTATATTCTAAAATGCCACCTTAGTCCATTCCTTGTATTTACAATAAGGAAAGATAACTTTCAAACTTTTATCTTCATCATTAATTATAGCTATTTTATTTTACCTATAAGAGTTATAATAAGCTGGCATGTGTCAAGGCCCTAGGTTTAATATATAGGAATGAATAAAGTAATGTGAAATATTTCATTGAGTTAAATATGTTTTTTAACTGTTGCACTACTTAAAAAAACAAAATTCTCCCAGTCTTGGCAATGATGCAGGTGCAACGAATGATCTCCCCTTCAGACTGGTTCCCAGGCCACAACAAAAGTCAAAACGGTCAGATAGGCAAGTTGCTTCCAGAAAGTGATGTAGTGTTTGCATGGAGTTCAACTGTAGCCTAGCTACACTTCAAGTTATATCTTAATAATTAACAGTGCTTAAGCTCAATGCTATGAAAGTATATATGCTGCATTGTTTAGAATGTAATAACGAAAAGTATGTGAATTATCAGTACAGATAGAATAAAAATATTTTATTGTCAAAGAGGAGCTCAAGGATGTAGAATACATTGCTACAAAGAGCCAATGGCAAATGGCTTTTAATTCAGACAATTAAACCACAGGGGAGTAAATAATACATCAAACCAGGCCTACATTGAGAAACAAAATGCTTCATCGCTAATTCTCTTAAAAAATCTGTTTTAAACGTGATGGATCCAGTAATGGATTGAAGATTAGTGATAGGAATTTTCATAATAAGAAATTAGATAAAACATTACAACTGAAGAAAATATAACCTGCCAATCAGTTGCTAAGTACATGTGAAACAAAAAGTAATGCACAAGTCACATAAAAAATGTTTGGTATATTAAGCTTTTATTCTGGTAGACACTGCTAATGATACTCTGGCCTAATTGGACATGATCGCTGTGTATCTGAGATACTAACATCATGCTAGCATTTGAACACACCACAAGTTATCCATCTTTTAAAGGTCACCAAGAATGTTAATTTCTTTGTCCCCTTGTATAAATTACATATGTCAGTGTTCCATCCTTAATATCACAACAAAGTGAATATCATTACATTAAAAATTGTGGTGAGTCTATCCATACAAATGCAGTATAGCTGCTTAGACATAGACACACTCTCGTGTGATATACTGTGTCCCAGTACAACCTTAAATGATTTTTAAATGCAAGAAAAGAAAATAGAATTGCAGAATAATTGTGCAAGTCCAAAGAACAACATTTTATGATGCAGAAACCTCTATTGTGTTATATGAATCCGATTCTTTCAGGTTTATTTTGTCCCCAGTGTTGTGTTATTCATTGCTTGTCAGTCCCCATCATGTAACCAGAACTAATATTTGTTCTAATCTTCTGAGGGTCATAGACCCACTAAACAAATATCAAGGAAGTTATTGCAAACAGTAAGTCTCATTGGACACTTATCCCTACCTCTAATAAATTATCAAATAGGACATTTCTGTTCATTAGAATCAGAACATTTATTTTAAAACAAACAGCAAAATTCTATTAAAAGTGACATGGTGCTCTTAGACAATATTGAACATTATTGTTTATGATTATGATGTGTCACATTCTAATAAGTTGAAATGGCTACATCTGCAATTGCTTTTTGCATGACTATGGTCAGTGCATTCTTTGGTTTCTGCCTTCCATCTCTTATCCAGTCTTTCTTTCTACCATAGATTTCTAGGCTCATGTGGAACAACCTAACACCAACTCTGCTGGAGACTGCTGTGTTATACATGCTGTCCCATGGAAGATACTGGAATTTCAGATACTTTATACTGACCTGAGACATCTGGGTGGTTTGGGGGCAAGAGCTTCCACAGTAAAAGATTCTGGCATATGCTAACGGCAGGAGTTGGGAGGGTTGAATTGAGAAGTGGCCAATGTTCAGAGAGAGAACAAAAGGTCCAATGCCTCAGAAAATCTTAAAATACAGAAGATTTCCAGTATCCCAGAGAAAAAAACAAGGTCTGGAATGTATATATCTGTTTCACATGATATCTATGCATGCTCATTAAATGTTATAATTAACCTCTTCTAAAAGAAGGTGAAAAATTTATCTCCTGCAGCAACTTTCTAAAATCTTACTACTATAGTCTAATTTCCATCATTTATTTTTAAGAGCAAAGTGCAATTTAGCAGTCACGAAGGTTAACCTCATAATGGTCTTAATTCAACTGTATAATACTTCAAAAATTGTTAGAATTAATAAAATAACTCAAGCGTATTCCCAGAATGTAAGGTAAATTTGCGACAATAAGTTTTACTATGTAATAATAAGAAATAGAAAGTAAACCATTCAAAATATATGAAAGTGATTTCCCAGTGGTAGCAATAATAACCTGAATTGTTGCTACAGGAACAACAAAATCAATAAAATAACTTATGAATAGCTGTGTAAATAAAATTATAAAAAGCTGTAAAAAGTACTAAAGCATGATAATGCAGGCATGAGTGGGAAAGTATTTACAATAAAAATATCACTTCTTGCACAAATTAATTTCTAATTTTAATACAATTCAAGGAAAACTTCTAATGAGAGTAATTTTACAGCCTGTTAAATTTTTCTTGAGTTCATTGAAGCTGCAGATTATAAAGAAAATTTTGAGTATGGATGCTAAAGAT